AACTTTTCTCTGCTGCTGGGTGCTGGACTTTCGGTCAGAGAGGCCACAGAACATACGGGTCAGCTAAAACACCTCCAAAACCATCACACTGAACACGGAGGCTCCGCAAGGTTGTGTGCTCAGCCCGCTGCTCTTCACTCTCCTGACCCATGACTGTGCTCCAAAGTACAGCACCAACCACACCGTAAAGTTTGCAGATGATGCAACTGTAGTGAGGCTCATCAGTAACAACGATGAAGCCAACTACAGAAATGGCGTGACAAAACTGTTCCAGTGTCAAGGTTAACAACCTGAATCTGACAAAGACCAAGGAAATCAAAGTAGACTTTAAGAGAGGACAGCAACAACACTCCCCTCTGACCATCGATGGTGCACCAATGGAAAGGGTGAGCAGCAGCACTAATATCTTGGGGTTACACATCACAGAGAATCTTTTCTGGTCCAACAACACAACATTGCTAACCATAAAAAGCCCAAACTTGACTTTATTTCCTCCGCAAACTGAAGAGAGCAGTAGTCCCAGCCCCATCATGCAATCATTCTACAGGGGTTCCACCGAGAGCATCCTCAGCAGCTGCATCACTGTGTGATACGGAGGCTGCACCACCCCGTCGTAAGAGTCTCCAGCGCATCGTGAATACAGCCAGCAACATCATCGGCTCCCTTCTGCTCTCACTCTTGCATATAGTGTGTGTGTGTATATATATATTTTTTTTTTCTTACTTTTATCTTCTGTAAATCTATTTCTGCTCATTAAAGTTGAGAGAAAGTGAGAGAAACGGTATCTCAGTTTTTCCTGTATGTCCAGATCTCTCTTGAAAATGAGTCCTCGTGATGCAATGAGACTAGCTGTATAAATAAAGGTTAAATTAAAAAAATTAATAAGGCAGAAATTGACAATAAAGAACATTTGAATCTTTGAACTTTCCAGGACAGCAATAGGGTCCTTCCATTCACACTGCAGCTGGCAGCCCAGATGAGATGGGCGGCTGTGGCTGAGTGGTTAGAGCAGTCGTCCCCCAATGCAAGAGTTGGGGGTTCGAATCCACCAGCAGTCACATGCTGAAGTGTCCCCGGGCAAGACACTGAACCCCTCATTGCCGCTGATCTGTGTCCCATCAGTGTATGGATGTGATAAAGCTCTGATTAGTCTCATTAGAATGATTTGTTCGATTAGCTTTGTAGAGATCTAGTATAGAGCTGTATGAATAGGTAAATGAGGCACAGATTGTTGTAAAGAGCTTTGAGTATCTTGAAATAAGATAGAAAGGCGATATATAAGTACAGTCCATTTACCATTTACCATAAGATGAGACTGGATTTAGGACATAATGATTCCAGGTAACGGTAATAAAAAGACTTAAAGGTCACCTGGCAGGAAAAACAAAATGAGCTGAGTTCATGAGACTATTCACAATCTTAACACATCTCAGAACTGTTCTGTTCCACATTATTGTTTTCATTCATTCAACTTTTATTTAGACAGGTTAATCCCATTGAGCCTGGAGGACTCGTTTACAAGAGAGACCTGATTTCAATAAGGAATGATGACAACAATGGATAACAACGACAACAATATACAGTCATAAAATAGGCATACAAATTTAAGTTTCTCTCTCATTATCCTGATGCATGCTCAATAATCCAGGTAGAAAAATCCAAAAAAGTTCAATCTGGTCCTCTGGACATTCAAAAAAAAAAAAAAAAACAAAGCAAAAAAATCTAGATTTTTTTGCTTTGTTTTTTTTTATGTTTTTTTGAATGTCCAGAGGACCAGATTGAACTTTTTTGGATTTCTCTCTCATTCTTTTTTTTTTAACAAATCGAAACAAAATAGCAACCAAAAGGACAATCAAGAGGAATAGCAGCAAAGAACAGTTAGATCACAAGGCAATTTAGAAAACCAAAAACAGGAGCATGTCTGCATTGACTTTTGCCAGGTACTTAACAGGGTTTTAAAGTCACTTACAGAGGTCAAGGTCGAGAGCTTCAGATCTTTTTGTAAGATATTCCAGGAAACAGGGGCGGAGTATGAGAAGGTCCTTTTGCCTAGTTCATACCTCACTGAGGGAACACTGCAGGTAATAATGTCCTGAGAGCGCACGCTGTAGCTGCACTAGCGCAGAGACATGTAGGAGGAGATGTATGAAGGCAACAGACCAAGAAGTGATTTAAAGTGACTTAGAACCAATAAGACAGTAGAATATATACAGGTCCTCCTCAAAAAATTAGCATATTGTGATAAAGGTCTTTATTTTCCATAATGTAATGATAAAAATGAAACTTTCATATATTTCAGATTCATTGCACACCAACTGAAATATTTCAGGTCTTTAATTGTTTTAATACTGATGATTATGGCATACAGCTCATGAAAACCCAAAATGCCTGTCCCAAAAAATTAGCATATCATGAAAAGTTTCTCTAAACAAGCTATTAACCTAACCATCTGAATCAACGACGTAACTCTAAACACCTGCAAAAGATTCCTGAGGCTTTTAAAAACTCCCAGCCTTGTTCATTACTCAAAACCGCAATCATGGGTAAGACTGCCGACCTGACTGCTGTCCAGAAGGCCATCATTGACACCCTCAAGCAAGAGGGTAAGACACAGAAAGAAATTGCTGAACGAATAGGCTGTTCCCAGAGTGCTGTATCAAGGCACCTCAGTGGGAAGTCTGTGGGAAGGGAAAAGTGTGGCAGAAAACGCTGCACAACGAGAAGAGGTGACCGGACCCTGAGGAGGATTGTGGAGAAGGGCCGATTCCAGACCTTGGGGGACCTGCGGAAGCAGTGGACTGAGTCTGGAGTAGAAACATCCAGAGCCACCGTGCACAGGCGTGTGCAGGAAATGGGCTACAGGTGCTGCATTCCCCAGGTCAAGCCACTTTTGAACCAGAAACAGCGGCAGAAGCGCCTGACCTGGGCTACAGAGAAGCAGCACTGGACTGTTGCTCAGTGGTCCAAAGTACTTTTTTTGGATGAAAGCAAATTTTGCATATCATTCGGAAATCAAGGTGCCAGAGTCTGGAGGAAGACTGGGGAGAAGGAAATTCCAAAATGCCAGAAGTCCAGTGTGAAGCACCCACAGTCAGTGATGGTCTGGGGTGCCATGTCAGCTGCTGGTGTTGGTCCACTGTGTTTTATCAAGGGCAGGGTCAATGCAGCTATCAGGAGATTTTGGAGCACTTCATGCTTCCATCTGCTGAAAAGCTTTATGGAGATGAAGATTTCATTTTTCAGCAAAACCAGTGGTAAATGGTTTACTGACCATGGTATTACTGTGCTCAATTGGCCTGCCAACTCTCCTGACCTGAACCCCATAGAGAACCTGTGGGATATTGTGAAGAGAAAGTTGAGAGACGCAAGACCCAACACTCTGGATGAGCTTAAGGCCGCTATCGAAGCATCCTGGGCCTCCATAACAGGCTGATTGCCTTCATGCCACGCCGCATTGAAGCAGTCATTCATGCAAAAGGATTCCCGACCAATTATTGAGTGCATAACTGAACATGATTATTTGAAGGTTGACGTTTTTTATATTAAAAACACTTGTCTTTCATTGGTGGGATGAAATATGCTAATTTTTTGGGACAGGCATTTTGGGTTTTCATGAGCTGTATGCCATAATCATCAGTAAAAAGAGACCTGTAAACAAAGACGTTATTTATCCTACAGACTATTTTAGCAAATATATATATATATATATATTTGCTAAAATAGTCTGTAGGATAAATAACGTCTTTGTTTACAGGTCTCTTTTGTAAATGAATCCTCGTGGCTCAATGACGCTAGTCTGTATAAATGAAGGTTTAGTGAAAAAAATAAGCTGAAATTAAGCAAAGCTAGAAAAAGCTAAATGCTGTCTGAAAACAGTTTAAAGCTAAAGGCTAGTTAAGAAGAGGTTCATTAAAACAAAAGTAGTAAACAATTATATACAAGCTAAAAGTAGCAAAAGGTTAGCTAAAGAACAGCTAAAATTAACAAATGGCTAGCTAAAGCAAATCTAACCAAAGGTTGGTTAAAAAGTAAAAATATGAAAAGGCTATAGAAGAAGAAAATTAGCAGAATGTTAGCTAAAAAATAAATGGAGCAAAATGCTAGATTACAAACTAAAAGTACTAAAAAACTAGGTAACAGTAGAAGTATTACAGCTAAATTCTAAAAGTAACATAAAAAGACAAAGTAGAGCAAATTTCAACGAGAAGATTCCTTTAAACAAAGTGACGTGATCTTTCTTTGAATCTGGAAACTGTGTTCTTCTTTCGGCTGCTCTCTTTGTCTGGGGTCACCACAGCGCACAAACTCGCACAAAAGGTTTGACAATGGTTTTACACTGGATGCCCTTCCTGACTGAACCTGGACTTGAACCCACAACCTCAGGATTACAAGCCCACAGCACTGACAGGGAGACCTGGACTTCTCTGCTCTCCTTGTTGCCTCCACTACTTCACATGGATTAGAAATAGAAGAAGATGGATAGATGGGGAAACCACTGGAAACATTAACTGAGTCATTAGTTATTTGAAATCGTGGGGACATCAAAACCCTGATATGTTGACCCAGCTGCTCTGTGATGTTCAGCATCCAAAACGGAAGCTAAAGAAATGATGGAGCCTAAGAATTCATGATGGTGAGTCCAGATTTCTCTGCTGTTTAGAAGACTGGGGGGTCTTGGCTCCTGCATTTGATCTTTTTGTTTCGGCCAGTGAACATCCACAAACTGCAGAGTTTCACATTGGTAAGAGAATCTGCAGCATCTCATTTAGCCGTGATGGGATGTTGTTTATTGCAGTGATTCGGGCTGATCATCTGGGTGTAATTTTCCGTCAACATCCTGCCTGGTTGCAGCTTTGACGACACTTCGCAGCACAGCACCAACAGCACACAAACACAGCGCCGTCTTTTCTATTTTCTGTTTCTCTTTCTTCCTTCTGCTTCACTTCTTGAACCTTTTCCTTCTCTGTTTTTCCTCCCATGTGCCACTTTTCTGTCTCCAGGTGATACCGTTTCTCTGGTGGATGTGGACATCTCACGGAGAGGGATGAACACGCCACATCCTCCCACTCCTCCCCCTCCTCCACGCCGAAGTCTCAGCCTGTTGGGTATCTATCTGTCCTTGTTCATATTTACATGTGTACTTGTTTTATCACTGGGGGGCGGCTGTGGCTGAGTGGTTAGAGCAGTCGACCTCCAATGCAAGAGTTGGGGGTTCGAATCCATCAGCAGTCACATGTCGAAGTGTCCATGGGCAAGACATTGAACCCCTCATTGTCTCTGATGTGTGTCCCATCAGTGTATGAATGTGATAAAGCTCTGATTAGTCTCTTTAGAACGATTTGTTCAATTAGCTTTGTACAGATCTAGTATAGAGCTGTATGAATGGGTAAATGAGGCACAGATTGTGTTGTAAAGAGCTTTGAGTGTCTTGATCAGATAGAAAGGTGCTACATAAGTACAGTCCATTTACTCGTGCGTAGCATAAACATCAGCTGACACCAAACCTTTCTGAGAGCTTTCCATGTGGCAGCAAAAATATCTGCTCCTCTTGATACTTCTGTTTCACTCAAAAACATTTTGTTTCCTGTCATACATTTCTGGAAACTTTCAATGAAGAAAAGTTTTTCTAATCTTCTGTAATCTGATTGGAGGAGCTTTGAAAGGTCAGCTGCAAACTACAGATTTGATTTGTAATCCCGACACAGCGACTCAATCGATGGTGAGATAGCAAAGACCAGACAACCAGTCTGTAGGGAAATGCAATAACATTTTAAGCTCCTGCTCACTTGGAAAGACTCGATTGTCCATTTTTCTGTCTGCTGATCTTAGTGATGCAACAGTTTGTACTAACATGTATGAGAATATACATCTGAACAGATTAAGATAATATGAAACTGGTTTGGTCTATAGAGGTTTCTTGAACAAAGGATAAACAAAAGAGCATTGTCTTTAAAGTCACACAATGTGATGAGAAAATATTGTATTACTGAACATTTGAGCATCTTTTACGATCTTTTACAAAGATCTTTTCCTGCAAGCTCTTTAATCATAACCCCCTCATGTCTTGATCCACACACCAAAAATATTGCTCCAGGCCGATGGCTAGTCACAAAACAGCCTGGAATTTTTTTTTCAGGCTTGTATACTTAATTTTTTTTTTTTCTTATGACATGTGAAAGAACACTATCCCCCACACTTTTACACAACATCAATTACTTATCCTGATTCAGGCTCAATAATCCAGGTTAAAAAAAAAATCCAGCATAGTTGAGTCGGGTCCTCTGGATGGTTTCTTTTTGTTGAAACGTTTCATCTTTCATCCAAAAGACTTCATCAGTCCAAGGATCCACAACAAACTCTGTTTTATATGCGATATAAGAAGCTTTTCCTTAGTTTACACATTTCCCAGGAGAAATTGATAAGTCGGCCTCTTTGAGGCCAACTGGGGAGTCAGATTCAGAAAACCACAATTGTTGATTTATTCAGGCAGACTATTTTTCTTGTCAGCCTTGAGTCTGTACTGATAACGTTCCAAGATCCGAAATGGCCAGATTAGGGTGCATTCTACTGATCTGTGCTTACGAGCCTCTTCAAGATGGTTTTCATGCTGATGAGTCCCAAAGCCGCAGGTGGCCTGCGATTCAAATCACTTCCAACTTATGGTTTAGCTCGTAAATCAGCTGATTTAGAGTCCTCAAAGCACGAACCAACGATGGTGATAAAATAGTTTCTGGAGTCCGCCCTCTCTCCCACTAACTCTGAGGCAGCCATGGCCAAAGTGGTTCAATACATCCTGATTCATGCTCATTATGGGGGCCGAGATGGTGTAGAGGCAGGGCAGCCGGCTTGGGACCCGAAAGTCCCAGGTTCGATCCCCAGTCACTGCACATCACGTGGCGTCTCTGGGCAGCACGTCTCATCCCCAAAATGTCCCCCGGGCGCTTTCAATAGCTGCCCACTGCACCACCTGGTGGTGGATGGGTTAAATGCAGAGACTAATTTCGCCATTGTATGGAAACATACAGTGCTGACATTGTGATGACATTATTATTATTATTATTATTAATCCATGTAGAAAAATCCAACAAAATTAAGTCAGGTCCTCTGGACAGTTTGCGCCATCAAACTGGTTGATCGACTGTGAGAAGGTACTATTTATAAGACTGAGTTTATTTCTGCTCCTCGGACTAATGAAGTCTTTTGGACGAAAGATGAAACGTTTCAACAAAAAGAAACCGTCCAGAGGAACTGACTTAACTTTGCTGGATATTTTACCTGGATTATTGAGCATGAATCAGGATATTTTGAGCCACTAATGCCTCAGAGTTGGCGGGGGGGAGGGCGGACTCCAGAAACCATCTGAGCACCATCAAACTGGTTGACCGATTGCTTACCGGTAGTTTGTTTCAGTTTTATTTTCATACTGTCTGTGTTACCAGGCAATAGTTTGTGTACTGATTATAACCATTATATGTAAATTGTTGGTGCTGAGGCTGTGAATGTATCAGTCCACTAGGAGTTGAGAAAACCTTTGGACTGATCAGGTGAGCTGATACATTCAGTCTACACCAGTGATCCTCACTATTATTATTTTTTTTTCAAAAGAGCCATATTGACAGATCAAAGTCAAGGGGAGAGCCACGATATCACCCCAAGTCACTCAAATAAAATTTAAAAAAAGAAACAACCCACCTATAAACAAACAAACAAAAAAACAAACACAGTCAGAACATTATCTGTTTAAACAAAATGTGCATTAGTCCTGAGATGAGCAGAAGCTGTGGTGCATGTCCTTGACTTTCTTCATGTTGTATTTGTAATTTGTTGTTACAACCACAGTGAGACATTCAAGATGGGCATGGGTCAGTCGGTTTCTCTGTTTATGCTTGATAGTGTTCATGGTTGAAAATGTTGACTGTGTAAAAGTTTCAGCTTTTAGCTATTACCCCAATCCCATGAAGGAAACACAAGTTAACAATAACAATGAGGACCAAAGTCCATGCTCAACAATGAATATGCTGTAATATGTGTACGGATGAAGATGCCCCCTTCACATTTCTGCCTGCCCCTCATGTAACCATGCCTAGAACCGGCCCTGCTTAGATGCTCCTACTTTCTTCACCGGAGATGACAACAGGCGCGGAGACGTATGCGGCCGGTGATCAGCTGATCCATCTGAAGCTTAACAGGACTTTTTTTTTTTTACCTCTACTGGCCGGTCGGACCTGCCTCCTCCTCAACACTAGATTAACACAATATGTAAAACCACTACAAAGAAGCCTGAGCCGACATGCACAATTACTGCGTAATACGCCAGCACGTTTTAAAAATGTATCTGTGCTGGCGTATTGTTGTAACCTGTCACGAGAGCCACCAATAAAGCATGGCGAGCCGCATGCGGCTCAGGAGCCGCGCAATGAGTATCCCTGGTCTACACGGTCTATATGTTGAGAGCACTTCCATTCTTATAGTAACACAGAAGTTATTGGTTGAGAAAACACTGGTAAACCAAACTGTCATAAAAAGTGTAGAGGTTGGCTAAAGTAGCATCCTTTGTAGTTTTGGAGAAAGAAGCCTGAAAACACAAATCTCTTGTTTGGCCCCTTCTAGCTGAGGCTGGACAGAGATTTTTCTCTGTCCTCTGCCTTTTGTCTGATGTCACAGTTAATAAAGTACTAACTATTGATAATCATTAGATATATATATCACTTTAAATATGACTAGATTATCCCCAAAATTCCTTGTTTTATTTTTGGCTCCGTGAAGATGTTTAAAAACAGTTTACAGACCGATGCTCATAAATCATCTTCAACAAATATTACTCAGGCTGGGATTAGGAGTGCTTCCAGGAGCGTTTTATTTCCAGTAACAGGAAGGTGGAGGTTAAACAAGATCTAAATGAATGCTATGTGTGGGTTGTGAACGTGCCAAAACAACATCTGGCTGTCAGTATAATTATTACGAGCTGTTTCTTAGTTTGGATTTTTACAGGCTGATTTAGTGACAGTTTGTTTAATTTAGGTTACTGAATGCTGGTGTAAAGAGTAACGTGCTTCTATACAGTGCCTTGCCAATACATTCATCTTGGTATTCTATTTTTATTACATGCAACCTTAATTTGGGATGTATTTTTAATTTGATTAAAAACAATACTTCACCCAAACACCGCTCCAGATTAATGAAGTTGAAGGAAAAAAAAAAATTAATTAATTAATAAATTAACAGTACAGTCTATGAAACTTGACCCAAAACTCAATATTTTGTGTTGCAACCCTCTGCAGGAGTTGTAGCGACAAGCTTCTTCAGGTCTGACCATGATTTTGGTCCATCTAACATCAACTTTTTGTCCTTTCGTCAGCACCAAACTTAGGTGCTGCTTGTGTCCAACAATCTTCAAATCAAACTGGAGACTCTCATTGGACTGAGATCTGGTCTTTCATTAAATCATTCCAGGCCCTTTAACTGGCACTCCTAAACCAGTGGAGAGTTCTTCAGCAGACTGTCCTGGACCACTGTTCTGCTGAAAGGTGGACCTCTGTCCCAGGCTCACATCTTTGGAAGACTCCACCAAGTTCCTCTTAAGTTTATCTCTGTATTTTGCTCCATCCATCTTTTTAATTTATTTATATTTAACTCCGACCAATTTCCCATGCAGTCCATGATTATGAAAACATCCCCACAGTATGATGCTGCCACCACCATGTTGCACTGTACAGATGGCGATCTCAGCATGGCGTTGTTCTTGATGTTTGGTCTCACCTTCCTCCACATGTTTGAAGAAGAAGTTCCACACCATACAGTTTTCATTTTCTTTATATTGTGTGTTTTTCTGCCACTCTTCCATGAAGTCCAGCTCTGTGCGACTTTCTCAGGATTCTCCCATCACTGCAGAGCTGCAGCTCCATCAGGGGGTTATCTTGGGCCAGTAGTGGGTACAATTCCTCTAACTAACAGCTAATAGAGGAACAAATTATTTCTTTTGCAGATTAGTGTTTTCACTAACTTTCCCCTAAATCCACTAACAAATGAGTGGAATTAGCTTCCACTAAATACTGTTTCGCCAACTTTAAGTTTGCTAACAAAATTCACAATCTTGTTTCTGTCTGTTGTGGGCGTGTCTCTAAGAGTCCGTTAGGCACGCTATTGGTTTACTATGTGTGCACGTGACAAGAGGTAACTGGTCGACGAAGCTTCAACTTGAAGAAGGTGAAGACGTGACGCAGACTGAGTGACAGACATATAAGTGGTTAGCGGTTTAGCGTAAGCTTCCATTAATTTCCTTTACTTGTTTAGCATTAGCAAAGCTAAGTTTTTACTTAGCGGAATATGGGTTAGTTGTTAGAGTTGTTGCCTTTTAGTGAGAAGGTCGCCGGTTCAAATCCCGGTCCAGGGCCTTTCTGGTTAGAGTTTGAATGTTCTCTCCGGGTTTTCTCCAGGTACCCCGGTTTCCTCCCACAGACCAAAAACATGCATGTTAGACTGATTGGTAACTCTAAATTGTCCCTGGATGTGAGTGAGAGAGTGAATGGTTGTTTGTTTCGTTTGTCTCTATGTGTCCCTTTGATGGACTGGAGACCTGTCCAGGGTGTCCCTCGCCTCTCGCACAGTGATGACTGGACATGGGCGCCAGTGACCCCTGCGACCCAAAAAGGAAGAAGCTGATAAAGATAATTGATGGATGGATAGATGGATGAATGGATGGAAAATTAGTTAGCAAAGCTAACTTTTTGGTTAGCTGTGTCCACCACTGTCTTTGGCCTTCTGAATGTTCCTCCCTACCCACTACAGTATTTGAGTTTTGGTGAATAACCCTCTCTTGGCAGGTTTGCTGTGTTGGCCCTATGAGATGTTCAGAGTGTATATTTTTACAGTTTTCAGGGGCGGCTGTGGCTGAGTGGTTAGAGTCCTCCAATGCAAGAGTTGAGGGTTCCTTTCCACCAGCAATTACATGCTGAAGTGTCACTGGGCAAGACACTGAACCCCTCATTGCCTCAGATGTGTGTCCCATCAGTGTATGAATGTGATAAAGCTCTGAATATTCTTTGTAGAGATCTAGTAGAGCGTTGTATGAATGGGTAAATGATGCACAAATTGTGTTGTAAAGAACTTTGAGTATCTTGATAAGATAGAAAGGTGCTACTATATAAGTACAGTCCATTTACAGTATAACCTAACTCTGATCTGTACTTCTCAATCACTTTGTCTTTGACTTGTGTGGAGAGTTCCTTGGACTTCATGCTGTCTCTTGATTAGTGGTAGACTTTACTATTTAGAGGTGTTGGACTAGTGTTAATCATCAGAACAGGTGCAAATCATTTGACAGGTTGAGATTGTTTGACACCTAAATAAGATCCACTTGTGAGTAATCAAACTCATTATGTGGCTCTTGTTGTGTTGAATTTCTAGACAAGAATCTCCTATTAGTTTCATGTATGTTTTAATAATTCAGATCTGTTTTTCTCCATTTAACTTCATTAAGCAGAATTATTTTTGTTGAGTTATTGTTTTTGACAAAATCTAAATAAGTTACAGGTTGTTACGGAGAGGAAGATTACGTAGGAAGGATGAATCCTTTTGCATGGTCCTTTATAAAACAACACCTTTAAATGATTGTTGAAACAAAAAGGTGAACTTTGATTTGAGCTGAGAAAATTCATCCCTCTTTCACGTTACCTTTCCTCTTTGTATTCCTTTTCTGTTCTTGTTCTTCTTTTCCTTCTCAGCACTTTAACGTCTCTTTTCTTCTTTCTCCGTCGTCCATCTTTCCCTCTGTGGTTCTTCCTTCCTCTCATCTCTTTACTCCCCTCCCTTGTTTCTTCCCATCCTCTTTTCCTCCTTCCAGATGACTTTGCTGGGCCTCAGCCTGGGCCGTTCCTGGTGAGCGTTATGGGTGCCTCCCTGCAATCCCTTCCCCTGCCTCTTCCTCCTCCCCCTCTCCCCTCCCACCCCACCATCCAGCACAGTGTCAGCCTCAATGGTAAGACATGTCTGCGGCTCATGAAAGGGTTTTGTACGAGCACAAAGTCCATATTGTTTGTGCTTGTAAATCAAACAGTTGTGAATTAAGTTTTGTAACCTTGAAAATACCATGGCTGAAAAATTCTGCTTAAAACGTGTCGATAGGAATATTATTTTGCATATTGTTGTTATTATTATTATTTTTGTTAAGGTCTGATCACAGATACAAAGCAAAAAACTACGAGTAAGACTCTGCGCTCAAGTTCACTAACTTGTGTGTGAGTTTCAACTGGCCAGTACAAATGGATGTTCCTTCCTCTCAGCTGATTGGTCAATGTCATGTCAATCACAAATTTAACAATCCAGTTGGAGAACAGATGGGTTTGGCTGTTGGGTGGCACTTTACTGAGCTGCAGCCCTGTAGGTGTAGTACATTTTGAAAATGAAGGATGGGGCCCACGCATCCCAGGAAGGCATTACTTTATGGTTTTGTGAAAAAATAAAGTTGTGTAGAGCTTTATTTTTAAAACTCACCTTCGTTAGTACGGGTGCCATTCTCCAGTTTATTTTATAATACAAAATTAACATTTTTTTTCCATTTTTTTGAACTTATGAGTTTCTTCTTCTTCTTTCAGCTGTTCCCTCTTCAGGGGTCTTCACAGCGAGTCATTCTCCTCCATCTCACTCTGTCCTCTGCGTCCTCTGTCCTCACTCCAACTACCTTCATGTCCTCTCTAACTGCATCCATATATCTCCTCTTTGTCTTTTTCCTGGCAGCTTCATTTCTAGCATCCTTCTACCAATATATCCACTGTCCCTCCTCTGGACATGTCCAAACCATCTCAGCCTGGTCTCTCTAACTTCATCTACCAGTTGTTCAACCTGTGCTGTACCTCTGATGATCTCATTGCTAATCTTATCCATCCTTGGGCAGCTGTGGCTGAGTGGTTAGAGCAGTTGTCCTCCAATGAGAGAGTTGGAGGTTCGAATCCACCAGCAATCACATGCCAAAGTGTTCTTGGGCAAGACACTGAACCCCTCATTGCCTCTAATGTGTGTCCCATCAGTGTATGAATGTGATGAAGCACTGATTAGTCTCTTTAGAATGATTTGTTCAATTAGCTTTGTATAGATCTAGTAGAGAGCTGTATGAATGGGTAAATGAGGCACAGATTGTTGTAAAGAGCTTTGAGTATCTTGATTAGATAGAAAGGCGCTATATAAGTACAGTCCATTTACCATTTACCTTGTCACTCCTAAGGAGAACCTCAACATCTTCATTTCGGCCACTTCCAGTTCTTTCTCCTGTCCTTTTGTCCATATATGTCTCCAGACCATACAACATAGCTGGTTTCACCACTGTCTTGTAAACGTTTCCTTTGACCTTTGCTGCCACTCTTTTGTCTCAAATCACTTCTGAAACTTTTTTCCATCCACTCCATCCTGCCTGATCTCTCTTTTTCACCTCTTTACCAATTTCAATTCAATTCAATTCAGTTTATTTATTTAGCACCATATCACAACAAAGTTGTCTCAGGGCACTTTACAGAAACATTCACATACATAGAAAAGCCAATTAGTAAAGTTCTCTGTCTGAGGAATCCAAAAGACTTGTTGAATCTTCACTTCGTTGCAGTCTCCCATCCTGAGCAAGCACAATGGTATTAGTGGAAAGGAAAAACTCCCTTTTAAAAGAAGAAACCTCCAGCAGAACCAGGATCAGGACAAGCGGCCATCTGCTTTGACCGGCTGGGTTTGAGAGGACAGGAAGGAGAGACAGACGAACACAGAATGGTAGGTCCAGGTGTAAGTGCAGGTGAACCTGAAAGACAAAAACACGTTAGGAATAGAAAAAATAATTACAAATACAAAACACGTTGAGCAGAATAAGTGAAGACAGTAGCAGAGTGAAGACATGTGGTCAGTTTGTCCTCCAGCAGTCTAAGCTTATAGCAGCGTAACTAAGGGACAGCTCAGGAAACCCAAGCCGACCCTAACTATAGGATTTAGCAAAAAGGAAAGTGTTAATCCCAGTCTTAAAACTGGACAATGTGTCAGCCTCACGGACAGAAACTGGAAGTTGGTTTCACAAGAGAGGAGCCTGATATCTGAAAGTTCTTTCTCCCATTCTGCTTTTGGAAACCCTAGGAACTGTGAGTAAACCTGTAGTCTGAGAGTGAAGTGCTCTGTTAGGAAAATAGGGAACAATAAGATCTGTAATATAAGATGGAGCTAGGTTGGAGCTGATGAAGCCTTCTGGATCGAAGGCGAAATGTTTCAGCACAAAAAAAGAAACTGTCCAGATGACCTGACTGAAAAGTGTTGGATGGAGCTAGGTTGTTTAGAACTTTGTAGGTTAGAAGTAGGATTCCACACTCCCCATTTTCCTGGACAGTGGACTCCAAGTACTTGAAGTCCTGCACCTTTGTGACCTCTGCTCCTTCTAGCCTCACTGTTCCACCAGCCTCCCTCTCATTCACACACATGTACTCTGTCTTACTACAATTGACTTTCATTCCTTTTCTTTCAAGTGCATACCTCCACCTCTCCAAGTTCTTTTCCACCTGTTCCCTATTCTCACCACAGATCACAATGTCATCTGCAAACATCATAGTCCATGGGGATTCCTGCCTGACCTCATCTGTTAGTCGGTCCATCACCAGAGCAAACAAGAAGGGGCTCAGAGCTGATCCTTGATGCACTCCCACCTCCACCTTGAAGCTATCTGTCACTCCTACAGCACATCTCACCGCTGTCCTTCTGTCCTCATACATGTCCTGTACCAGTCTAACATACTTCTCTGCCACTCCAGGTTTCCCATGCAATACCACACCTCCTCCCTCAGCACCCTGTCATTTGCTCTTTTTAAATCCACAAAGACACAAAGGAGTTCTTTCTGACCCTCTCTGTACTTCTCCATCAGCATTCTCAAAGCAAAGATGGCATCTGTGGTGCTCTTTCTTGGCATGAAACCATACTGCTGCTCACATATAGTCACCTTTGAGTATCTTGAAACAAGATAGAAAGGCGCTATATAAGTACAGTCCATTTACCTCTCGTCTAAGTCTAGCTTCCACAATTCTCTCCCAGATCTTCATTGTGTGGCTCATCAACTTAATTCTCCTGTAGTTGTTACGACTCTGTACATCACCCTTGTTCTTAAAAATGGGCACCAGCACACTTCTTCTCCATTCCTCAGGTATTTTCTCACCCTCGAATATGCCATTGAATATTTGAGTCAAAAACCTCACTGCCCTCTCTCCAAGACATTTCCAAACCTCCACTGGTATGTCATTAGGTCCTACTGGCTTCCACTTCTTTATTATTTTCAGAGCTTTCTGAACTTCACCCTCACTAATCTTTCCCACTTCCTGGTCCACAGACCTCTAGTCTTCTTTCTCTTTCGTTTGCTTCATTCATTAGCTCCTCAAAGTACTCCTTAGATTGTCCCACCATGCTCTTCTCACTTGTTATAACATTACCATTCCTATCTTTAACCAGCCTAACCTGCTGCACATCCTTTCCAGCCTGATCTCTCTGTCTCACCAATCAACACAACTTCTTCCCACCTTCTTTAGTGTCCAGCCTCCCATACAACTCATCATACGCCTTCTGTTTTGCCTTTGTTACCTCCCTCTTTGCTCCACATCCTTATATTCCTGTCTCCTCTCTTCAGTCCTCTCACTGTCATATTTCTTCTTGGCTAACCTCTTCCTCTGAATAGCTTTCTGCCTTTCACTATTCCACCACCAGGTTTCCTTATAATCCATTCTCTGTCCAGATGACACACCAAGTATCTTCCTACCTGTCTCTCTAATTACTGTTGCTGTAATAGTCCAGTCATTTGGAAGCTCTTTCTTACTACCCAGAGCCTTTAACAGCTCCTCTCTGAATTTCTCACAGCGTTCTTCCTCAGCTTCCACCATTTGGTCTTTTTCTCTGATTTTACTACTGTTCTCTTTTTGACAACAACAATCGTTCTACACACAACCATCCGATGCTGTCTGGCCACGCTCTCCCCTGCCACACCCTTACAGTCTCCAATCTCCCTCAGGTTTCCTCTTCTACACAGAATGTAGTCGACCTGCGTACTCCTTCCTCCACTCTTATAGGTCACTCTATGTTCCTCCCTCTTTTGGAAATATGTGTTGACTACAGCCATTTCCATTCTCTTGGTAAAATACACCACCATCTGTCCTTCCTGGGTTTTTTCCTTGACACCAAACCTACCCAGCGTTTTCTCATCCCCTCTGTTTCCTTCACCAACATGTCCATTCAGTTCTTCTCCAATCACCACTCTCTGCTCCCTGGGAATACTCTCTATCACTTCATCCAGATCCTTCCAAAATTTTATCTTTCTCCTCCCCATCACATCCAACCTGTGGAGCATAACCACTGACGATATTTAGCATCAGACCTTCTACTTCTACCTTCAGGCACATCACCCTATCTGACACTCTTTTCACCTCTACTACATTCATTTCCTATTCCTCCTTCAGGACCACTCCTACTCCATTTCTCTTTTTATCCACACCATGGTAAAACAGTTTGAACCCTGCTCCAATGCTGATAACCTTGAAGCCATTCCTCTTGATCTCGTGGACAGATAAAACATTTACCTTGCTTCTCTGCATCATGTCAGCCAGCTCTCTACCTTTGCCTTTTGTCATACAAGGTTACAAAATTTAAATCACAACTACACAGTCTGATTTTCAAGCGCACGTTTTTATCACTGAGATTTGTGCCCTTAGCTTTGGTCTAATGTGAAGGTGTGTTTTGTGGTAACAATGTTTAATTTTGAACCTTCTCTGATTTAGACGCCTTCATTCGAGCCCTCCCTCATTCAAACCTATTGCCGGCAGACGCTCCACCACCCATCCGACAGGCTCCACCTCCTGTGTTGTGTGCACTGCGGCGGTCTGAAGCCAGCAACTTTACAGCAAGTCTGAGAGAACTGGAAAAGGTAAGAGCAGCTATCGTACACTGATTTGTCTTCTTTGTAATGCTAAGAATACAATATTGTATTAATTTCATGATATTGAGCTGAAATTGATTTGGCAGTAACTGAAAGTAACACGCAAAACACATTTTTCAAGTGTTACTCATTTTGTAAGATCTTTGCTTAAAAGATTAATATTAAAAGTCAAACCCATTTTTTGTTAAATATCCCATCAACTACTAGATCAATTTTAATAAAATTTTCAGGATATAATCAATAATTGTGCATCTACAACTGATCAACTTTTGTAATGAATCCAGTTCAAGAGGACTGCCATGGCAAATTGACATTGGCCAACACAAACATGGCTGTAACTGAATAAGTTTTACAGGTATCGAGTTAAATGTGATGCTGTCGAAGCTGAGAGCCATTCTTAACACATACTCTGAGTGTGAGTAATGCTATTCTCAAGATCTGACCAAAATAGCTTAGACTCCACTCTTTATAAAATATTGCCTCACCTGCATGTAATTTTGCAGTCTGGATTTTCGTGTGGAAAAACTTGGCTCATGAACATTGTGGATAAATACTAACATTTATCTTCTCCTCACTTTTTATTTTCTTTCGCGACTGAAACCTAAAATATACCGTAATAGTATGAAATTCTCATGTATTTAAAAATGCCAGCCGTGAAAATTAAAGGTTCAGGGGTTTTCCGTGTCCTCCTGAAAGTGAACTGTAGGGTCTCTCTTCTGCAACAGATGCTGTCTGTAGCATGTTAAACTTCACAGAGACAGGAAATAGCAGCCTCTGTCACTGTGCTCATGGATGTTCTGTTGGGTCTGTGCGCCTGCAGTGTGGCTGGTACTGGGGTCCTATGAACTGGGAGGATGCAGAGATGAAGCTGAAAGGCAAACCGGACGGATCCTTTCTGGTTCGAGACAGTTCTGACCCTCGGTACATCCTGAGCCTCAGCTTTAGATCGCAGGGAGTCACACACCACACCCGCATGGAGCACTATCGAGGTGAGACTCACAAACATATTTGCACAGATTTATTATTAACAAACATGATGGATGTTAACTAGGTCAAGCTCCGTTAAATGGTTAGCTGCTTAGCTTCCTAGTTTCTATGGAAGCAGGAAGGGTGGACTTAATTATTTTATTTATGAATTTTCTCTGCCTTTTAAATTTGATTTCATTCAGTAAATAATGACACAACACAGGTTATCATGACTGAAAATTGTTGGATTGTATACCTGGATTATTGAGCATGGACTTTGTCAGGTTATCATGTGTTGTTGTCCATCTTAGATAGTATTTATTCACTTTCAAACCAGGTAAACATCAAGTGTTTTTATTGCCCCTGTCAGTGTGTGCATGTGTGTGTTTGTCGGTGCTGTTAGCAAAATATCTAGTGAATAGATTTGAAGGAAACTCTCAGTGGATGCACATCTACAGTCTGTTAACCTTTGGATTCAATCGCATTCAAAATGGTCACAGTTAAGTGACTTTAGCAAACACAAAGAAAGATCTGACTCAGCCAATTTTATAGTTATTTGAGAATGTTTGGTGTGGTAGTAGCTGAGACTGATCCCCAATACATACTATGTACTACACATTGTACTACGTCTTTGTGTGAAACGTTGTCATTATCAGTTAGACTAAATACTTTCTATCTGTCTGTCAGGAAATATCTGCTGAACCACTGGACAGATTTTTATGAAACTACCAAATAGTTATCACTGCCTCTATATCTTCAACTCATTAATATTTGGAGTCAGCACAGTTCAAGATGGATGCCACTGTTATGTCCACCATGAACATAACGCATTAAGGAGGACACGGGACACAAATATGGGAGTTCAAACTTTCAATTTATTCAAAGCGGCTGCTTCCTGAAAAAAAAAGAAAGATTATTATGAATCCCCAATTCCCCTGTCCACCCAAGAAACACAAAAACCCAAAGTATCACCTTAAAGATGGACCTGGTGACCCGGTCAAACAGAACAAAAAGGTACCGCAGTGGGCCAACCCTATACAGGGCCATCAAAGCCGCTGCTGATACCCGACTAAAACTAGAAAAAACATACAAAAACATCTATTACAAAAGAAAAGGGTGAAAACAGGACAACCGGCCGCAACAGGCTAAAGTTACAAAAAAATATACAAAGCATTAACAAAAATTACCTGTGGTTGCTGAAGCCGCTGACAGCAGGCCACAGGTCCAGGACAAAGAAAAAACATGGGCCCCGGGAAAACCAGGGCAGCCAAACAAAAAAGGTCCAAATAAAAGAGGCCCCAAAGGTAGAGAGCTTCTGAGAGGCCAAAAATGAGGTAGCATGAGCGAGTTCACAAACAGAGTGAGCCTGAGAGAGAGAGAGAAGGGAAAGGGGACTAGAGCTCCCTGGGACCAGCCTCTTAAATAGGTGGGGTGGAAAAGGCCACAGCCCAAAACAATTAAAAGCTAATCAGCTAACCCAAAACCCAAGACATGTCCCAAGGACAAACTATAAGACCAATGTGCCCCAGGCACATAACAGCCACAGCTAGCCAGCAATAAATGGATGTAACTCAGTCACATAAACAGGTATTAAGGAAGTTGATATGGTATTAGCTGAGAGTCATTACCGTGATATATTTGAACACATCTCACAAGATCTCACGATATTGCATATCGCTCATAAGGTTACAGTATTTATAAAGTTTGACAAAAAGGCTATACGTGAGTTTCTTCTCATCGTAAAATGATTTTAGTCTAAAACTTTTTAAACTCGGCGTGCGATATGCATTTCTTTAAGGAATGCTTGGTCTTTAATTAGTTATTTAGTGAGTTGTAAAACCTTTGAACTACAACAGGTTTGATTACAATGCATCTGAAATGCAGACTGATTTTAAATGGTAATTGGACTGTACATATGTAGCATCTTTCTATCTAGTCAAGATACTCAAAGCTCTTTACAACACAATCTGTGCCCTCATTTACCTCCACACACGTTCTACATCTCTCTATCTCCACAAAGATAATCTGAATCTGTAGAAAATAATCAGAGCTTTGTCGCATTCATATGTCTATGGGACACAAATCAGAGGCAATGAGGGGTTCAGTGTCTTGCCCAGGGACACTTCAACATGTGACTGCTGGTGGAATTGATCCCCCAACTCTCCCATTGGACAACTGCTCTAACCACTCAGCCACAACTGCCCCTGATGGCAGCTTTTTACTTGCAAACATCTCCATCTCCATCTACTGCTTATCTGTGGTCGGGTCAAACTACAGGTCCAGGAGATAAACTCAGACATCCCTCTCCTCAGCGACACTCTCCAGCTCCACCTGGAGAATGCTAAGATGTTCCCAAACCAGAGAAAGTACACAATCCCTCTAATGAGTACTGGGTCTGCCCCTGGGCCTCGTCCCAATGGGACATGCCTGGCATACCGCCAGGCGTCCAGGAGACATCCTAATAAGACGCTCAAACCACCTCAACTGACACTTTTCGATGTGCAGGAGCAGAGACACTACTGATGTGCCCCTCGTTGTGGATGATGGAGCTTGTCACCCCATCACTAAGGCTGAGCCTGGCCACCCTGCAAAGACAGCTCATTTCAGCTGCATGTGTCTAGAATCTTGTTTTTTGGGTCATGACCCAAACCTCATGACCATAGGTGAGGGTTGGACAAACCAGTAAATCAAGAGCTTTGCCTGTCGACTCGGCACTTTATTCATTCTGACAAACTGAAGTGTAGTGGACTAGGCCTGATGTCAAAACTTGACCTTGTGGGACAGAAACTGTCATTTCATTGATTTGAATCCAGAAATACAGGTTCACCCATCCTGAGACTTTCTTTCTTGAAAATTCAAGTGAAAGAACACTCTCTTTTCTATTATCATTACTGTTTTACAAATGTTGATAATCAAAGTGTTTTAGTTCAAACATTTTAGATGTTGCAGTGAACTAATCATTTTTAATTAACTGTGAAAACAGTAACAATGATTTTTTAATCAAAGTTAGAATTCATGTTAAGGCCTGTTACAGAGTAATTATGCATTTTCTGATTTTCTGTCTGTGAATGAGCAAGTGTAAGTTTTCTCCAAGGTCGGAGTCGAAGCAGACAAGTGTTGGAACAACTGTCTTGTTTTTAAATCCTCTCAGACGTAAACAGAGAAGTTGGCACCTGTTTCTCCAAACTCGCCCAAACATTTCTCTCGCCTGTCTGGGAAACATCTTCAATCTGTTCCATAACATTCTTGCTGTTTTCTAGTAACCTTTTGCGTCACAAAACACACCCCTGTCTGGTCGACATTGACCAATAAGAAAACTCCCAAATGAACCGGAAATAGAGCTCTTTAAAATGTCGGTACTTCCTAGTTCTCCCAGTTCTGTGAAGTGGCTGTTCTGTGAGTTGCTGTTGGGTCGCAGTTGCCGTTGGAGTCGGGCTGGAGAGTTTGCAGCTCCAGTCGTTTGGGAGAACAGAAGTCCAGCCATGATAAGGCTCTTCCGAGTTTGGGATTATAACATCTTCCACCTCTGAGTGGAACTTCTGAAGAACCCCACTCATGTGAAGTCCACCCGTTGAGGTGAACTGTTGTTGACGAAGTCCCGTCACCACTCCGGATATATCTCTGCCATCCTACGGAGACGCTGAAAGGTAGCGTTAACTGGAGCTCCTCTTCCGCTGATTCATCGTCAGAGAGGTAAATGAGTCTAGTCCACTACCGAGCGTACCGAGGAAAGCTGGGTCGGATGGAGGGTGTCGTCCTGTCAACACTTTTCACTCATACACACCACATTCTCCCTCATCCATCTTTCACTCCCACTAAACTTCATCTTTCCATCTTTAAAAATTCTTCTATCAAGTAGAAATCATTGACAGATATTTTTAGAAATGTCTGAAGCAAAGTTCTCAATCACCGCCGTGTGATTTGATGTCTGCTGTTCTGCTGAAAAGTGAAAACAATCGCCGTATTGTTTCTCACTACCTGTAAAGCTGATTAATTATGTTGTTATTTTCATATTTTGCCAAATTAATGTAAATGTTTGATGTTAAACTTTGATTCTGTAAATAAATGACCACATTCATTTTGATGGGTCAAAGATAAATAACGTCTCACGTTACATTTTATTAAATTTAATGCACGTTTATATTCAGTCCAGAAAAATGAAAGAATCCGTTTTAATCAGGTGAATATCTCAGGATATGTTCATCTACAGAAGCAATGCCCTCATTACTGAAGATGAGGCCCTGATCTGTCATTCCAGCTCTTGCTCCATCCTAACATTACTTGTAAGCAAGACACCCAAATACTTGAACTCCTCCACGCCATTCCTCCATGGGAATTACACCCATTTCCAGTTGAGAACCATAGCCTCAGACTTAGAGGAGCTGATTGTCAACCCAGCTGCTTCACATTACACTGCACCATGCTGTGAACTACCCCAGTACACAATGAAGGTCTTGGCCCAACAACACCAACAGAACCACACTATCCATATAAATCACAGACAAGACCCTGAGGTTCTCAAACCAGACACTCCTCACCACAACTACACCTTGAGATCCAGTCCATGAACACCATAAACAAAATCTGAGACAAGGGACAGTCCTGGCAGAATCCAACCTGTACCGAGCTCCACTTTGTACAAATAATATGGACACAGATAGCCCTTAAAAGCAACCAAGGCACTCTGTACTCCCACAGAACCCCCACGCACAGACTGTCTCAGGGAACATGGTCAAAAGTCTTCTCCAAGTCACAAAACATGCAGATTGGAGAGTCAATCCCGCATGACCCCCTTAGCCACTTTGCAAAGATGAAGATCTGGTCCACTGTTCCATGACCAGGGTGGAAGCCACACTGTGCCTCCTGAATCCAAGTTTTGACAATCGATCGAAGCCTCACTTCTAAACTTTCCTCTAGAGTTTGAGAAGTGTGATCCCACAATAGTTGGAACACACTCCCTGGTCCCCCTTTAAAAAAATTAAAATAAAGGGAACCATCACCTCGGTCTGCCCCTCCACAGGCTCTGTCCCAGTCCTTAATACGACATTGAAGAGACGTGTCCCCACAACAGCCATAGCCTTCAAACCACCATCTATGGGCAAATCTCATGTACCCTCGGGTGTCCTGCCATCGGGCAGCTTTTTCTGATTGGCTAGACTTGAACCTCCAATGTGTCTGGACGGATTTGCAACAGCCTCTGATTTGAAGTAGAGAGGTAAATTACTGGTTGAAGTTGCAAATATATAATATATATTATATGTATTTTGATTAACTTGGAAGAGCAATCCAGACACGACTGTCACAGCAGGCAGGGCAATTCAACTGAATTACTCAGTGGGCCACAGTTTCTGAAAGCCAAGAGCTCAGAGGTCAGACACCCAGCAGTTATTGTTGTTATGTAAGTTATATTTTATGGTGTAAAATCGAATCTTATTTAAATATAAACCCATTGCTGGGTTGAACTGAGCTCACCCGTGGGCCTGATTTGGCCCCCGGGCTGCCATTGAATAGCCCTGCAGGAGGGTATTTTAGTTTTAAAAACTGCTCAAAAGGGTGTACATTTATTTTTGTTTGTTGTTGTTGTTTTGTTTTTATATGCTTCACTTCTTTCAGGATCTCTGTCAAAATTAGTTTGTGATAAAACTGAAACTAGCAGAGCCTTTGCAGTGTCATACATACTGTCAAACAGGCAGAATTTTTTATTTTTAATTTAAAGTGCAGCCTTAATACAAAGAGAGCAAAGCTGTGCAGAATTATTATGCATGCTCAGTGAAATTGAATAAATGCTTTACTTTTTATGCAAGGATTTATTAAGGATGCTATGATGCTACATGTGAAACATATGTAATAACAGTGTCCTTATACCTTCAGGGACATTCAGCCTGTGGTGTCACCCGAAGTTTGAGGATCGCTGCCACTCCGTGGTAGAATTTATAGAACGAGCCATCATGCACTCTAAGAATGGCAAGTTTCTCTATTTCCTGCGCTCCAGAGTCCCAGGTAAGAAATACCACTAGAACTGGTTTCTTGTCAGGCTGTAGACAAGTCCTGCCAACAGTGATGAGCTGACTCTATTAGATGTTCTTTTTTTTTCAAACTTTATAATTATTTCATTCATAAATGCAGTCGATTGAAAACAATTGAAATGTTTCAACACCTTTTAAGCCTAATGGTTATCACCCACTGCTGAAGGCAAACCAGCAATACCATTTTTGCCGACGTTCGTGTATTCATATTCAGCTAAATATCTCTTGAACTAGTGGACAGACTTTACCAAATCCCAGAAAATAACTAATGGATGCACATCTACAGTTCATTACCTTTTGGAGTCAACTCGATTTAAGATGACTGGCACAGCCAACTGACCTTCTAAAACATACAAATGGCTTTAACACATTCATTTTATTGACTGATATAGAGCTACAATTAGGTGAGGTAGTGGCTGAGCATTGTCCCTGACACGTACATTGAGTACTTTGCATTGTGTAGTATTTCTGATTAAAACTTCAGCATCAATTGAGGAAGTCAGTACTGTTAACAAAATATCTTATGAACCACTGAACAGATTTTAATGAAAATCTAAGAAAGGTCTAAAGGTCCCTGATCCCTGGTTCGATCCCGAGTTTCGGCACCATTTTATCAGCCATTCGTCCACGGCGCCCTTCCGGTTCTTTTTGTTCCCAGGTGGAGAGGAAACTCTCACGAACTTGATAAAATCAAGAGAGGTAAATTATTTTTACCTTTTAATGTAGGCAAGGCAGGAAAAACTACAAGCTTAGTGCTGAGGCGCCCGTCTGAACCCGTCGCAACCCAGAACTGGAAGCGGAGGCCCCGTGCAAAAGAACGCAACAGCTTATGTTGGCCCTTTGCTCCGCCTCCACATCTGGGGCGGGCACAGCCTGTCAGTGTATCAGTGGGGTGACTGTGTGACCTCAATGGTCTTACCTGTTTCTGATGGTGGATAATAGAGTGATGTGCAAATCTATCAAAGTGTTGGAAGCAAGAAAACAAAAATGACTCCTTATTGGGTGTTGACCCTGGGCTCGCTCGTTGTGAGCAGCTGAGACTGGTATGATCTGTTCCAAACCAGGTCATGAGTCAGAGTGGACCAGACCGGGCCTCCAGCAAGAATAAACTTCTAACAAACATCACTGGTAGATCATCTAAACATGTTGAACATTTGAAGTCAACCCAATTCAAGATGGCTGCTTCAGTTAGTCAAACTTAGCCAAATGAAATGCAGCTGTAACTCATTCAATTTAACAATTAGGCCAAAATGTATGTGGTTGAAGCTGAGAGCCTCAGCACTTACTCTGAGTGCGATCACATCTCGCAGTATCTAACAATAGTGTGAAAGCTCATACAAAGGTTTGACCAAAACAGCTGTAACTCTGTCACTCCTCAGCAAAAGAGGATTTTGGTGTAAAACTCCTGCATGATAGGTGGAGGGCAATATGCATACAGTTTAGAAATGTTAAATCTTTAATTAGAATTTTGTGTTTGACAAGAATTGTCTTCATGGGAAGAGTTTTATAAACAAATTGGAGAATGAAATGTTTGCAGTCTGCCATGCTAGCATGCCAATAATCGTTACTGGCATATTTATGTGACATTAAAGTGGTCATTAAGAAGGTAAATGATGTGAAACAGTCATTCAGCTGTATCTGTGCAGGCTGCTAAACCACCAGCATGTCCAGACCCAGAGAACACAACCCAGTGACATCCAGCAGGCTGACTGGGTCAAAGTCTGAGTAACGGTGTGCTCTTTGTCTCAGGGCTTCCACCCACTCCGGTTCAGCTGCTGCATCCTGTATCTCGATTCAGCAACGTCAAGTCGTTACAGCACCTCTGTCGCTTCTGCATCCGACAGATAGTCCGCATCGACCACATCCAAGAGCTTCCACTGCCCAGGTACTCACCTCCTAACCATAAGGTTCTCCTTAGGAGTGACCAGGATGGATAAGAGTAGGAATGAGATCATCAGAGGGACAGCACAGGTTGAACAACTGGGAGATAAAGTTAGAGAGGACACACTGAGATGGTTTGGACATGTCCAGAGGAGGGACAGTGGGTTTAGTGGTAGAAGGATGTTAGAAATGCAGCTGCCAGGAAAAAGACAGAGGAGATATATGGATGCAGTTAGAGAGGACATGGAGGTAGATGGAGTGAGGACAGAGTGAGATGGAGGAGGATGACTCACTGTGGAAACCCCTGAAGAGGGAAAAGCTGAAAGAAGAAGACGATAAAAGAAGTTTACTCAGCATTCTTTTCTCCAGCTCCGGTTTGGCTTAGTCCAGTCTGCAGCCAGTAACAGAGCCAGTTTGGTTTAAAGTTGGTGCTGCTGGACACAAACCATGACAAAAACCAGAGCACCAACAAGCTGTTGAGAAGCTGCTTCTTCTCCCTGCAGACGATCCACTCCACAACTCCTCCTCCCTCAGTTAAACATCCAACCAGCTGAGTGACCAGAAAGTTTCTGTGTTGCTGGATGATTTAAAATGCTCATCTCAGCTGTTTGTGCATGACTTTAAGTTTACCACTCGGTCCAGCCTTAGAGAGTCCACACTGAAAGGACTGTGCCAAGTTTCAAACCCAGGATCTTCTTGCTGCAAGGCAGCAATGCTAACTAACCACTACTCCACCGTGCCCCGTCAGGGTTCTTTTAATTAATAGCATTTAATCAAATATTGAATGCACCACTATGGACACCTGCGACTTTTGTTGTTTATGTAATGAAGCAGATAATTTGTTTAAAAAACTAATAACAGAATCTTATGTTGTATTAATGAACATTACCTGCTGATGCCTCACAACTGAATTGTACTTTTTATTAATTACTGAAATTTTCTGTATTTTGGTTTTATGCAAGAAAAAAAACTTTTTTCCTTTGCAATCAAAGACCAAACATCTTATAATCCAAACATTCACTTAACTTTTTTCCCTTATTTGTCATTTTTCTTGTTTGCAGACCACTGATCTCTTATCTGAGTAAGTTTTATTACTATGACCCCGAGGAAGAGATGTACCTGTCAATCAAGAGGATTCGGAGGGTGGTGGAAGCAGAGCAGGAGGCTGAGTCGCAGACGTAGCAGCAGAACTCTCTTCAGCTCAAGTGAGTCTCTTTCTCCTGATTACAGAAGTTTTATTGTCGTCTGTAAATCTGTTTAACTGGAATCAAGAGAGTTCACATGACCCTGCACTTACTCCAGAAAGGGAATTGATTTAAATTTAATTAAACTGATTTACCTTCTTTAAAGCATAATACAGTTTGTTGATTTTCTTAGTACACTTTATAAATTACTTTTATATCAAACAAACACGTTTGAGATTCAAAATAATTGGACAGAATTGATCTGTATTTAAATGGGCTCAAAATGAATTGTATAAATATTTTTCCCAGTAACATTCACTCATTCATTCAACCGTTATTTAGACCGGAGATTACTATTTTGGAAACTGGCACCACATTAAAAATTAAATTGGACTGAATTCAATTGACAGATCTGTCAAACTTGACAATCTTCTGGAAGTGCGTTTCTGTTATCTCAAGAGAAAAACTGCTTTTACTGTTTGGATCTACAGCTCAGGAACAAATTAAAGGACAACTGTCAAGTTGTTTTAAATCAGTATTTCTACATGTAAGACAGTGATTTTATTCATGCAGGTCGGTTGAATTCCAACACAAGCAGATCTCATTCTGCTTTTATTCAACCTTTATTGATCTCATTGATGAGGGGACCAGATGTCTGACATTAAGTCTGGGGACATTTCCAGCTCGGAGACAAAAAAGAAAGAATGTTATCAAGATGAAATTAAGAAACAGGGACAGTTACGGTTTCATTTATTTTTACATTTTTATTCATGTTTAAACAATAAAAATCAAATGTAGCAGCAGGAGTGTGTCTCCACACACATTTCTAAGAGTAATAAAATAAATAAAGTAAAGTAATATTGATGTCAGAAACATGTGTAATGTGTGTGTGTGTGTGTGGGGGGTCTAGGGGTCCTCCCCGAAAATTTTGAAAAAATTAGATGCCATTTCCTGCATTTTGTTGTATTTTAATGGGTTCTTAAACTTCTATTTTTACCTTCATAAGTAAACATTTGATTCAGTAACAACTTTGTCCTCCAATGGGAGAACTGAGGGCTCAATTCCACCAGCAGTCATATGTTGAAGTGTCCCTGAGCAAGACACTGAACCCCTCATTGTCTCTGATGTGTGTCCCATCAGTGTTTGCATGTGATTTAAATAGGCCTGTCACGATAACAAATTTTGCTGGGTGATTAATTATCTCAGAAATTATTGCGATAAACGATAATATTGTTTGAAATGTGAAAATAATTAGTAATTATTGTCTGATTTAAGATGAAATGTTTCATTTGTTTTGCGTGTAGTACCTTTTTAAGATCCCAGGATGGCAGTGTAAGACTGTTTGAATCGAAGGATGGATAGTGAGGGAGCGAGCAGCATGTCTCTTTAAGAAAAATGGGAGGGAGGCCCCTTCACGTGACATGGGCTGTCTCTCTTCGGTTTTCAAAATGGCGGACGCTCGGTGTGGTTTGAGCTCTTTAGCATTTTTCACACAAAGCTTTTAATAAAAAAAATCAGTGAACAAGTTCTCAGCTTCTTTTTGCAGAGAAAAACAACTTTTTACACGGAGGCATGGTTTTCAACCGTGAATTTTGGAGCTTCGACAAGACTGAGGTTTTTCCCGAGGTCAGCCTGTTAGCTTAGCTCGTAGCTTAACTTCTCAGCTTAGCGGCTTTTAACGATCCAAAAACGTGATTGTGGATCATTAAAATGGATTTTAAAGAGAAAAGAAAAAGAAAGGGAGGAGTCAGTCAAGAGCACCAGAGTTGAGCCTTTTGTCATCCAGTGTCTTCAGTAGAAAGAGAGAGACAAAGAAACAATAAAGCCGATAAATGAAAATGAGGTTGATAATTTTCATTTATCATGCGATTAATTGATTTATTGTTTATTGCGACAGGCCTAGATCTAAAGCTCTGATTAGTCTCTATAGATTCAGATAATCTTTGTAGAGATGTAGTAGAGTGCTGTATGAATGTGTGTGGCGATGGGTAAATGAGGGCACAGATTGTATGTATTGTATTGTATGAGTGCTTTGAGTATCTTGATTTGATAGAAAGGTGTTATATAAGCGCAGTCCATTTATCAGTTTTGCCTTATATTTTAGTTTTGGCAGAAATATCTTGGCATTTCTGCCAGGATTGTTCTAGTAGGCTGCACCAGAAGTGATGTCCTCTTTCTGCTGCTTTTGTTTACAACCTCAGATTTCCCTGTAAATAACTGTGTACTAAGGAACTAAGGTGGTGGAAAGGTCAATGAAATAGCATAAACCGCTTTGACATTTTTGATAGTGAATAATCTTTAAAAATGCAATAATAATGCTTTGGTCTTAGCTGCACTCTTGGACTAGCTGTTAGCTTGTCACTGTGGTCAGACGTAAAATCTGTTTTTCCAAATTAAAGCAGCTCAAAGAACTATTTACAACAGGTGATCTATAATTCTGTTTACACTGAAAACCACTTCAAACTGGCTTAAACATAACTAAAATGGTATAAACTGATTTTTTTTTTTCCTTTAGGAGGACGGCTCTGTACTGGTCTGCCAGTCTTCCAGCCTCAGCCCATTGGCGTCCCTGGTCATCCAGATCCAGTTGGACAGGAATGGACCCTTCTCTGCTCCTTTGGACCAATCTGAGGAGGTGTTTGATGTTGGACGGTGGAAAAATGTTGACAGTTTCTGGATCTGAAGAGTGACTGCAGAGATGTCCTGACCCGAAACATGTTGGAAGAAACGTCCAAAATCATAAACTCAGCTTTCCTAGTTTTTCAACCAGCTGGACTTTTAAAGATACGATGCACTGATCAATTTGTACAACTCTTGTTTGTGAATGTTTCCTTGTTTTTATTTCCATTTTGTAAAATGAGGGATTAGGGAATGAAATATTCCCACGGTAAAGATATGCACCAAGAGGCAAGAGTTTCCTCCTCTGACAGCTAAAAGTCTTTGTCATTGGCTTTTCTTTGTCTTTGTGGAAATAAAGACATTTATCTGTTTTTCTGACCTAACGTGGTGTGATGCAGTACAATGAAGAAAATTCCTCTTTAATGATACATCAAACTCATTATGTATCATTCTGTTATGCAAGAATGCTTTTCCTGCCTTTAATTTTCTGTATGTCATTTAATCATGAATCAGTTTGAAATTTGGGGAACTGAAGTACAGTTTCAGATTTTACTGAGTTGTTTTTTATATGCCGAAAATATGTTTTTTCATTGTGTGAAAATTGCAAAAGGAAGCAAAGCATCTCTTTTTTTTATTAAAAAAAGTGTTCAAGATTTTCCTGTCCGTATTGAAAACATGTCTGATCAACAACCCAATGACCTCCAGTTCATGATCATAAAAAGTACAACCATTAACAATCATTTAACGTTGGTGATGTCCATTCTTTTTTGGTGTTTTAGGTAAACCAAAAAAAATTGCTTTTTTGTGTGATTTTGCTATTTTGACAATCTACTAATTGATTGATTTAAGACTTGTCCACATGGTAACTGCCTCTTAGGAGCCCTAAAATTGTATTTTTTGAAAACAAATGACAGAATGATCAGATCCTCAAATGCCACCCTTGTGTTATCAGGTAGACAGCCAAAACACAATTTTTTGTAAAAGATAATGGCCTAGCCCTCCTGCCTAACACAAACTGAAGCATGGCAGACGTAACAACAACACAGGATTTTTAGTCATTTTCTGGGTTTCTGTGTGGATGAAAACATTTCTAGAAATTATTAATAAAAACATTGTTTTGGAAAACAGTGTTTTAATGTGAACAAGGCCTAAGCCGTCAGTGAAAGACAGTAGGGTCACAGAGGGCCCAGCAGTAAATCTTTTAACTCCAAGACAAAAGGTTAATCTGCATGTGCTCAGCTTCATGTCTCCCTATTTTTACTACCACTAATGTTGGCTTTACCTTTACAGCATTTATTTATTTATTCCTTTATTTAACTTTAAACTTTAGCCTTTGTCAAAAAAACATATTCTGATCACATTAATAGGTTCTCTTTAGATCAATCTGTTCAAATTCATGCATCCATCCATTATCTTTACCCGCTTCTTCCTTTTCGGGTCACTGGTCATCATTTCCAGCAGTCATTGTGTGAGATGCGGGGCACACCCTGGACATGTTTCCAGTCCATCACAGGGACACAGAGACAAACGAGACAACCACTCATTCTCTCTCTCACCTAGGGACAATTTAGAGTTACCAATCAGTCTAACATGCATGTTTTTGGTCTATGGGAGGAAACCGGAGTGTTGTTAACTTGGTTTTCATACAAATATATATATATATAAGCAAACTGCAATAAGTGGAAACAAATTCTCAGAAAACCCGACTATAACACAAACAGGAGAATTTTATTGTGTTTGCCCTTTTAGAATATCCATCCATCCATTTTCTTCCGCTTATCCTGGGTCGGGTGCAGGGGTAGCAGCCTAAGTAGGGAGGCCCAGACTTCCCTCTCCCCAGCCACTTGGTCCAGCTCCTCTGGGGGAATCCTGAGGCGTTCCCAGGCCAGCCGAGGAACATAGTCCCTCCAGCGTGTCCTGGGTCTTCCTCTGGGTCTCCTCCCGGTAGGACGTGTCCGGAACACCTCACCAGGGAGGCGTCAAGGAGGCATCCTAATCAGATGCCTGAGCCACCTCAACTGGTTCCTCTTGACGTGGAGAAGCAGCGGCTCTACTCTGAGTCCCTTCCAGATGATCAAGCTTCTCACCCTATCTCTAAGGGAGAGCCCAGTCACCCTGCAGAGAAAACTCATTTTGGCCGCTTGTATCCGAGATCTCGTTCTTTCGGTCACAACCCAAAGCTCATGACCATAGATGAGGGTAGGAACGTAGATCGATCGGTAAATTGAGAGCTTCGCCTCTTGACTCGGCTCTCTCTTCACCATGACAGACCTGTAAAGCGCCCGCTTCACTGCAGACGCTGCACCTATTCGCCTATCGATCTCAAGTTCCATTTTTCCTTAATTCAAAAAGGGGGACCGTAGAGTGTGTTCCAACTACAGGGAGATCACGCTCTTAAGCCTCCCTGGTAAGGTCTATTCGGGGATTCTGGAGAGGAGGGTCCGTCGGATAGTCGAACCTCGGATTCAGGAGGAGCAGTGTGGTTTTCATCCTGGTCGTGGAACACTGGACCAGCTCTACACTCAGCAGGGTCCTGGAGGGTGCGTGGGAGTTTGCCCAACCGGTCTGCATGTGCTTTGTGGACTTGGAGAAGGCGTTCGACCGCGTCCCTCCAGGAACCCTGTGGGGGGTACTCTGGGAGTATGGGGAACTGGGCCCTTTGATACGGGCTGTTAGGTCCCTGTATGACCGATGTCAGAGCCTGGTCCGCATTGCCGGCAGTAAGTCGGGTTTGTTCCCGGTGAGAGTTGGACTCCGCCAAAGTTGCCCTTTGTCACCGATTCTGTTCATAACTTTTATGAACAGAATTTCTAGGCGCAGAGAAGGTGTTGAGGGGATCCGTTTTGGTGGCCTTAGGATTGCATCTCTGCTTTTTGCAGATGATATGGTCCTGTTGGCTTCATCAGATCGTGATCTACAGCTTTCGCTGGAGCGGTTCGCAGCCGAGTGCGACACGGCCGGGATGAAGATCAGTTCCTCCAAATCCGAGGCCATGGTCTTGAGCCAGAAAAGGGTAGAGTGCCCTCTCCGGGTCAGGGAGGAGGTCCTGCCCCAAGTGGAGGAGTTCAAGTATCTTGGGGTCTTGTTCACGAATAAGGGGACCACCACCCCGGTCTGCCAATCCAGGGGAACTTCCCCCGGTATCCACACAATATTGCATAGTCGCGTAAGCCAACACAACCCTACAACATCCAGAGCCTTAAGGAACTCCGGGCAAATCTCATCCACCCCTGGGTCCCTGCCACTGAGGAGCTTTTTAACCACCTTGGTGACCTCAGCACCAGAGATTGGAGGGCCCGACCCAGAGTCCCCAGGCTCTGCTTCCTCAGTGGAAGACGTGCCGGTAGGATTGAGGAGGTCTTCAAAGTATTCTGCCCACCAACCCACAACATCACGAGTTGAGGTCAGCAGCACACCACCCCCACTATAAACAGTGTTGGTGGTGTACCGCTTCCCCCCCCTGAGATGCCGGATGGTGGACCAGAATTGCCTCAAAGCCGTGCGGAAGTCATTCTCCATGGCCTCTCCAAACTCCTCCCATGCCCGAGTTTTTGCCTCAGCGACCACCCGAGCCGCATGTCACTTGGACTGCCGGTACCCATCAGCTGCTTCTGGGGTCCCACAGGCCAAAAAGGCCCGATAGGATTCCTTCATCAACCTGACAGCATCCCTCAGCAACGGTGTCCACCACCGGGTTCGAGGGTTGCCACTGCGACAGGCACCGACAACCTTGCGGCCACAACTCCGGTAAGCTGCCTCGACAATAGAGGCACAGAACATGACCCACTCAGACTCAATGTCCCCCACCTTCCCCGGAACATGTTCGAAGTTCTCCCGAAGGTGGGAGTTAAAGCTCCGTCTCACAGGAGACTCTACCAGACGTTCCCAGAAAACCCTCACAATACATTTGGGTCTGCCAGGTCTGACCGGCATCCTCCCCCACCATCGGAGCCAACTCACCACCAAGTAGTGATCAGTGGACAGTTCCACCCCTCTCTTCACCCGAGTGTCCAAGACATGTGGCCGCAGATCAGATGAGACGAGGACAAAGTCAATCATCGAACTGCGGCCTAGGGTGTCCTGGTGCCAAGAGCGCATATGGACACACCCTTATGCTTGAACAAGGTGTTCGTTATGGACAATCCATGACGAGCACAGACGTCCAACAACAGAATACCACTCGGGTTCAGATCAGGGGGGCCATTCCTCCCAGCCACACCCCTCCAGGTTTCACTGTCATTGCCCACGTGAGCACTGAAGTCCCCCAGCAGAACAAGGGAGTCCCCAGGAGGTACACTTTCCAGTACCCCCTCCAAGGACTCCAAAAAGGGTGGATAATCTGAACTGCCGTTTGGTGCATAAGCACAAATGACAGTCAGAACCTGTCCCCCCACACGTAGGCGGAGGGATGCCACCATCTCATTCACCGGGGTGAACCCCAACACACAGGCACCAAGATGGGGGGCAATAAGTATGCCCACTCCTTTTCGGCGGCTCTCATCAGGGACAACTCCAGAGTGGAAGAGTGTCCAACCCCTCTCAAGGAAACTGGTTCCAGAGCCAGAGCCATGCGTAGAGGTGTGTCCGACTATTTCTAGCCGGAACCTCTCAACCTCACACACCAGCTCAGGCTCCTTCCCCACCAGTGAGGTGACATTCCACGTCCCAATAGCCAGCTTCTGTAGCTGAGGATCATACTGCCAGTGTCCCCGCCCTCGTCCACCACCCATCCCACATCACACCCGACTCCTTTGGCCCCTCCCACAGGTGGTGAGCCCATGGGAAGGGGGACTCACCTGTCCTCTTCGGGCTGTGCCCGGCCGAGCTCCATGAGTAAAAGCCCGGCCTTCAGGCGCTCGCCCGCGTGCCCCACCTCCAGGCCTGGCTCCAGAGTGGGGCCCCGGTAAACCACGTCCGTGCGAGGGAACATCAAGTCCATTTCTTTTACTCATCATAGTGGTGTTTGGGCTGCACTTTGTCTGGTCCCTCACCTAGGACCTGTCTGCCTTGGGTGACTTTATTAGGGGCGTAAAGCCCCTGACAACATAGCTCCTAGGATCAGTGGGACACTCAAACCCCTCCACCACGGTAAGGTGGCAGCCCAGGGAGGGGCCTTTTTAGAATAGATTATTATTTTTGTTAGCATTGAGATGTTTGCTGGAATTAATAGCAATTAATAGCAA